TTTTTTTTTTTTTTAATAAACAAAGGTATTACGATGTGTTATACATGTAGCTTCGTTTTAATCGAAAAAGTTCAAATTTCCTGACACAACTCCTCTGAGACAAAATTCCGACAGGCGACATAGGAATATTGCGAAATGCCGACATGGCTGGTGGCGAATTTCAGACAGGGGACATGGGTACCCCCCCTAACAGGGCCTCACTTAGTGCCGGCCAAGGCACAACTGGGTTGCTGTGATCATGACACAGGCCCCATGGATTTTGCATTAGACGCCTAAGCAAACATACATCAGGCAAGATTACTGGAACTTGTTGCCTAAGAAACAGGAAACCTCTCAAGGACCTCAAGCTTTACGTGTAAGAGAATATTGTTATGTGCTTCCTTTACGGAAAGTTTGTGATCCGTTTAATGTAGGAGCTCATCATATGTTTTTAAATTTGTTTATAAATCGATCGAAAGATAAAAGGAATTGCACTTTTAAAAGAACTATGAATACTAATTTTGCTGTCTGAAATAGTCCCTATATTTATCAGGTGGTAGCTATTATTAAACTCCAGTGTACAATTTCACAGCCATAACTTCTACTAATACAATTTAAACTTATACGTAAAGCCATGGGCTAGCTATGGAAGAAGACATATCCCAGTAACCTGAACAAGCTCGAAAAAGTATCACAAAAGAACAATCAAACTCTACCACTCCCCTGAAAAAATATCAGTATCACTAATGGGCACAGCTTACTCAAAAAACAAACAAACAAACAGGGAGGAACTATTGCCCCCCCCCCCTTCTTTTTTCCACTCCAGTCCTGAAAAAAAAAAAGGAAATGAACACAATCTTACATGAAAGTAGTTGTTTGGGCTGTAACCCCTCCCTCCTGGTATTTACACCCCTGAAATGGTACCACACCATGAAGATCAATACAAAGGTATTTTAATTCTAGAGTAATAAAATACAATAATTCTCAGGACTAAGGCCCAGTTCAGATGTTGTGCCTCTGCCGTGCCAAACTATATTCAGGAATAAAGTGCAACAAAAGCACAGCAGAAGCACAGCGTCTGAATCAAACTTTTGAATTAAGTTTGACAAGCGCTTAAGTTTGACAAGCTCTACCGTGTTACATGACTCTGGCACGGCAGCGATTCAAACATAGGGCATCTGTCATGCCAAACAAAATTGACAAATTATATTACTGTGTTTTGGCGAGATTACATTCCCACAGGAAGTTAGGAGGAGAACTGTTACGAGGCATCAGTAAATCCTGAATTTGGTTTGACTCTCAGCCCCTGCAAAACAAATTCCCAGTAGTCTGGGAATTCCTAGGAATTCCTAGGAATTCCCAGGAATTCCAAGTTATTCCAAGACATGCAAATTATGCTTTATCTAAGACCTTGGAATTTCTGGGAATATTTGGGAATAGTGGAAGTATGACTGGGAATTATTGGGAATTCCTAGGAATTCCAAGTTATTCCAAGCCATGCAAATTATGCTTAATCCAAGACCTTGGAATTTCTGGGAATATTTGGGAATAGTGAAAAGTATGAGTGGGAATTATTGGGAATTCCTAGGAACTCCTATTATTTCCCAGGCTGTTTTAAAAAATGTGTTTGGAATATCTAGGAATTCTTGGGAATAGCTAAAACACATGAAATATTGTTGGAAATTTCTGTAAATTTCCCAAAATGTCAAAATTAAAGATGAACTCAGTGCATGAATCAGTTT